CTACGTCGTTTGGTGGCCTGGGAGATGGGTCTCTTGGACCGGCTGCCTTGGGCTGGTTTTGGTGCTTTTGGGCCTCGAATTTTCCTAAAGAAACTAGCANGAAAGACTCCAAAATTCTAGTACTGGACAAGGTTTCTTCCTTGAAAACCAAAGAAGACTATGTTCTGGTGTTTTTTTTTATTTAAAAAAAAGGGTATGGGAGCTAAACTTCCAATGGGGAATGGAAAACCAATTCAAAGAAAAGAAGCAGTCCAGCAGTATATTTTTTCTCCAGAAAGCTCTCCTATTTTTTTCCCCCTTTCTTNTTTTTTTCTTTCTTTTCCCCTCCTCTATCTCTGATTTCCTCTCTCTCTTTATACAAGTCTGCCCCTTTTCAAACTTAGTGCATGCCCGACCCCTCTCTTTTGAAAAAATCAGAAATTTCCATTAAATCTGCCACTAAGATTGCCTTTTCCAATTAATCAACCCCCATTTCCTTTTGTTCCCTATTAATGTATTAATTAACACCTCCATTATCAAAGCACTAACACTAAAATACTATCCTAACTATTTCATTCCCAAGTTGCCCCTGAAAAACCCTTAATATTACTGCCCAAAACCAAAAACCTTACGTGCTGGATACAAACTTTGATCAATGACCTATTCAAACCTACTCATTCAACCAACTAGTTACAACAACTACAATCAATTCAAATCAACTAGTAATTCAAAATACTAAATCAGATGGCATTTATAATAAAACCTAAGAGTTCAAGGCAACATATATTGAACTAGCTATAAATGGGAAAACAAACACATTTAAACTCAGCAAAACAGGATGGACTGAAAGCATCTTGACCAGCACATGCCCTAAACAGATTTGGAGTACAAAAGTAGGGAACAAACAGCAGAGTTCCACAAAGGGGGGCGTCACTAAATCAGGCTAAACAAAACGAATCATAAGTTAAGCTCAATGAACTAAAAATGACCACAGGCTCAAATTTGGACTCAAATATTACCCAGGAAAACATGTTAACACATCATTCAGAACACAAACGAAGCATGAGGGGTTACAGTCAAGAATGAATTAAACATCAGACTAATTCTCATGCTACTCTAGCATTCAAACACATCAGACTAATCGATAACACATTACAGCGTACAACAAATGACAATAAACAGAAAAATGATAATAAAATTGGATCCAATAAAAAGGTCTGACGGGGCACAATGGGATCAATCAAACGAAGCTAAATTATAACCATCTAAACAATAATTAGACGTAACACTAAGAACAAGAGAGGAGGAAAGGAGTACCTTAAACAAATACAAGACTAGACGAAATCAGGTTGAATACTTGACTCGACTCTTTTGAGGTCGAAGGGACCTTAATCGAGTGTTCTCGACTGAGAACACATCGACTAAGGTCCATTAGACACCCAAATTTCTCCCCTTCGGACTGGTTCCAGCTTTGGTTTTCCAAGGTTCTTGGTTTGATTTTAGGGTTCGAATGGTTCCAACTAGATTCGAACGGAACCACAATTGATTAGGGTATGAGGGAGGTCAAGGGAGTAACTGGTGTGAATTTGGGGTCGGTTGGTGTAGGTTGAGGTTTGGCTCGAATCTTCAAATGAACATTTGAGACGATGTAGGTTGATTCAAGCCAAATGGTTTGTAGATTCGTGTTCAGGGGGCAAGGTGCANTATATATATATTCAAACAATCTAATTAGTTATATAAATGCCAAAAAAGATACATGAGGGGAATACGTAGCTCAAATAAGATCTAAAATTTGAATTCTAAACAAGTGACAAAAATGTATTAGTATCTCTTCTGAAATTTCATAATTCTATATATATTATTCAACTTACTGTTTTTTAAATTTTATTTAGTTGCATATGCATCCCATGCTTTCCAGAACCAAAGACTTAAACCCTCTTAAATAATGAAAATCCTTATTTATGTAGGATTTCAAATTAATTTTTAATTTTGTATAAAAAAGAATATTATTATATGGGCGTTTACAGAATTTGCAAGCAGCAGTGAAATGCATAACCTAAGTATACTGGGAGTCTAAAATTAACGATTATATTATGAAGGAACGCGTAAGAAATTAAATCTTTCCTTGTATAATTAGGAGTTGTAGTTTGGGCTGAATTAGGAAAACGGCAAAGTCTATATAACAAACAATTTTGTGAAGAATTCTTTTTCCAAACTGATATAATTTCATTTTAGAGAAAGATGAGGCAATTGACACTTGAAGACGTTGAAGATATAGAAGTTCATCCCAATTGGTGTCCTCTTGATATCTTGGGTGCTGTTTGTGAACGTGCTTCTGAAATTCATCAGAAAGAAAACTTAGAAATCAACAAGAAAATTGCAACTTCAACAGATGCTACTTCGCCTTCAAGAATGGTGGAATTCCCCAAAAGTCCCACTAGGAATTTGAAAGATGACTTATTTATGGGTGCTAATTCATCTTCAAGAATTGCACAAAATAACAATGTCGTCATTGTTGACGGTGATGATCGTAAGCGTACAAAAATAATTATGAAAAGGTGGGAGAAAGACAATTTCAAGAAACGATTAATGGGTTTTGATATGATCGGTTTTACTTGTTGGAAAAGCAATGAAACTACTAATGACGTTCTCACTTGGTCCGTCAAAGATGAGTTTGACAAGAAAATTAGTGATGAAGAAGAAAATTCAGAGAAAAAACTTATGCCAACAGAGATATTGAGGAGAGAAAAGAAGCTGAAGAGACCTATGGATGATGAAGTACAACAAAGAATATTAATTCGTGGAAGTCCTTCAGGTCTCAAACGAAAAAGGTCTGAAATTTTTAAGTCTGAAATAAATGAACTGCCTGCAGTATTCAAGAATCGGATAAACGAGTTAGGGAAAAAAGTAAAAGAGGTGAAATTGATAATAGAAAAACAAGTGTACAAAACGGATGCAAGTGAAAGTCATAATAGGCTGTCAATACCAGCAGCACAAATTAAGGAGAAATTTCTGAGAGATGAAGAAGAAGAGTATCTGCGTAGGCGTAGTACTATTGGCAAACATGTGAATTCCAAGACTGTCCGAGTAATGGAACCGTCACTCAAGATTGGGGAACTTGAGTTGAGGAGATGGGAGATGAAGAAGCAGAAACACAAGGAAGAATGTAAGACAAGTGTTAGTTATGTGTTGAATGGGAAATGGACTGATATGCGTAACGATAATAATATCAAAGAGGGGAACATAATTCAAATCTGGGCTGTTAGAATGGATGATGATGAGTTGATTATTCTTCTTGTGAAACTTCCTCATGATGATGATGAAGAAGAAGAAGAAGAACAAGTCCTCCATATTGAAGTACAAGGAGATAGTACAGACCAAGAAGCTAGAGATGATAAATAGTACAGTACTCTTTATCAATTATTTTCTAGTCTAAACATTTACTTGCAGTTAGCTTTTTAATGATTTATTCTGCAAAAAATATCATTATCAGTACATAAAATTTACTTTAATTCATTCATTCTGCTAATTGTTGTTATTGTTCTGCAATGAAAATTTGGAGTTTATTCTATGCCTAATCAACTGAGTAACTAGGTAGTAGGTATTGTGGTGGCTGCAAGTATTGTAGACTTTTTTTTTGGAATCCCATGAAAGCTCGCAGCCGCTACAGCTTTTGCCACAGCCTTTGCCCTTTCGGTGAACACTCTGTGTGCACTGGGTAAATTTCCCACTGTGTAATAGCCTTCAAATCAAACAAGGGATATAAACCGCACTAGGCAATCCCCGTGCTACAAGCTCAGACCCAGAGAACATTGAGGGAGATCGAACCCGCGTTGTCCGTATGGACAACACCCTCCAAACCCAACTGGGCCGCCCTTCAGGACAAGTATTGTAGACTTCATTAGTTCAATTCTGGATAGAAACTACCCGTAATAATGAATTTGCAAACTGAATATATGTTTATCATAAAGAGATTCTCGTTGTTGTTCCTAAATCCTGACCCATTCACTACAATCAAAGAAAGCTCCCGTAAACGGGGTGGATTAGGTATTTTATGTATATATTTGTCAGAATTGATCTAATATTATTTGTTGGCATCCATGCTTTAAAGAGATTAAATGATCCACTTGGTTGAATGCTTAGTTTTTTACCTAGAGGAATAGAGACTAATTTCCATTTAATATTTTCTTTTTTTCTCCTTTCTTTAGTGGTGCACCTATGTTATAAAAATTCTAAATCTGTCCCATAAAAACAAACTTTTCTTGATACAACATCATTTTCTTGTACTGGCACCTGATCTTGCTAATTCATATAGTAATTCTTTTAGCTAATATGCCATAATCTTTATTATTCACAATTATCAACATGAATACTACCATATGCCTGAGACCATATTATACCATTAACACCTAATTTGAATGGTTAGATCATAGAGTGAGTATTAAAAGGAGATATGTTCAACTTGTGGTTATATCGTGTTCGCATTTGTTATTATTTTCTCGAGAAGTTTTATTGTGTGCCTCACACTACTCACATTAGTTGTGTGAGTCTTTTTTTGTCTTACAAATTTGTGGACCCCAATCTTACACTTTTGGGTCCACAAAAATTTGGATCCACAAAACTGTGAAATAAAAAAGATGTCTCATACAACTAGTGTCAGTTGTATGAGATACAAAATAAAATTTTCCTTATTTTCTCTATCAAATTTACCTGACATTATTCAATTTCATATCTTTCTAAAATATTTGACACTTTTCTGTTATAGCTTTTACAAATTTCTTAAGATACAAATTATGTAAAGTATCTAATTAAATTGGTCTCCTTTTCTCCCAACCAACTAGTACTGAATACTAACTAGTGGCCATTATTTCAATTAGTTTGAATTAATACTTTAAACCCTATTTCTTAATCAAATAGTGTTATATATAATATTAAATGATGATACATGTAACATATAAGCTAATAGTAGCTTGTTTGTTATCAAGTTATGAAATAAATCTCATATTCTCTCGAGAAAAAGAAAAAGAAACAATTATGAGAAAAGGATTTAGTGACGAAATTTGTTTATACGAAATGACAACATTGACCTTCAGAGGATCTTGGCGGGAAAAACTTTGGAGGTAAGAGTGAAAAAGCAAAAGTCCAGAGTCTTTAACTCCGAGCAAATCTTCCATGGATTCCGATTCCGATGGCTCTCACGTATCCTCAACCCCACCACGCCACCCTCCTCATCCGTTGCCGTTGCCGTTGCGCCGTGCTCTTCTTTCTACCGCAAAGTCAAGAACTCAAGCCAAAAAAACCTCTATAACTTCCACAAAATCTTCCCGCCCAATTCTAAGACCAAAACCCTCATCCAAACAACCCAGAAAAAATCCTCCTTCAAACCCTAAAACCCTAGAAAACCCAATTCAAAACTCACAAAATCCCTCCAGTTTACCCTTCCAAATTCATAAAAACGACACCGTTTCAAGTGAAGTTCTTCCAAATTTAACGAAAAATGCTTCCTGTTCGAAACCCCTAATTCAAAATCCACTTTCCCCACCAAAATTCTCCGATTTACCTTTTCTAATCCATCGTAACGACACCCTTTTGTCCAATGACAACAGTTCTGGTGAAGTTCTTCCTGCTGGAGGCTTATGCGTATCCAAATTTGCTTCCTTTTCGAAAACCCGAAAAGCCATTCTCAATCTTGAGCCTGCTGAAGCTGATCCTATTGAACCCCGATTGGCTCAACAGACTGAAAAGAAGGAAACAGTTGTCAGGAAACATCCTAATTTAATAGGGAGCATCGTGTCGTCTTCGTTGCCAGCAAAGAAGGTTAAATGTGTTAATGAGGGTAACTTTGTAAGGCTCAACATAAATGGTTATGGTAAAAAGTTTGCATCAAAATTCAAAAGAAGGAATTCTAATTCATCAAGTGGTAAAAAAATCTATAGAAGATGGAAAAAGAAAGTTGGGGTTGTAGGTAAGGAGGGGGAAGGGGGGAATGGTTTGTGTGATGAAGAAGGTTTAGTTGTGGAAGTTAAGGGAAGAGGAGGGGAAAGATTGGATTTTGAGACAAAGTTGATTGAAGAAGCTGTGATGAGGGTTAGAAATGAGGCGTCAGATGAGAATTTGTTGAGGTTGTTAAAACTGACTTTTGGTTATGATTCATTTAGAGATGACCAGTTGGAGACAATCAAGATGGTGCTTTCGNCTTTCAGGGAAATCTACAATGTTGGTTTTGCCAACGGGTGCTGGGAAGTCGCTGTGTTATCAGTTGCCGGCAATGGTTTTTCAGGGAGTTACAGTTGTTATTAGCCCTTTGATTTCTTTAATGATTGATCAGCTAAAGCAGCTGCCTGCTGCTGTGGAGGGTGGTCTTTTGTGTAGCAGCCAGGTTGCGTATAACTTATTAGCAATTTTAGCCCTGTCGAATTTATGGCATTTTGAGCTATTCCTGAGTTAATGTTTTCACTGTTGCAGACACCTGAGGAGGTTTTGGAAACTTATAAGTTACTAGAAGAGGGATCCATAAAGGTAAGCTTTTTTTACTTCCTCCAAAGTTGCTTTGATGTACACCCAAATGTATGACCTAGCAGCTGATGGAACTGGAATGGAGATCATAGGAGACTAGGGTTCTAATCCCAGCCGAGGCCAAAAAAAAGGCTAGGTGATTTCTTCCCATTTGCCTAAAGCCTTGGTGACTAGAATTATTACGTACATTTACTGATAGAATGATACATGTACCCATTGGAATAGCTGATGTGTGCAAAGCTGCCGGACACCGCCGTTATCAAAGTAGCTTTAATCCATTCACTATTACTTTAGTCACACATCTGCTGGCCAAGTTTAATGTGGACTTTCTTGGATGAGCATATAAAACTCGATCTCATTTGAGTGTTGACTAATATTATAAACCAGATACGATAGCAGTTCCTTGAGATCATTTTCTTTCCGGTATCTCCTTGTCCTAAAAAATAAGCGGATGCTTATGTTTCAGGTCCTTTTTGTTTCACCAGAGAGGTTTCTCAATTCAGAATTTTTATCCATTTTTTGTGACACTCAAATTTCACTTGTGGTTATTGATGAAGCCCACTGTGTTTCTGAATGGTGAGTCTGACCTTTTCAAAGTTACATTTTCTAGTCTAGCTTTGCAACTTTGTTATCTTTTCTCTTTTTCTTTTGCTTATTTAAGTGTAACTTTATGTGGTATCAACAATCACGAACATTTTGGTAGGTCACACAACTTTCGGCCTTCATATATGCGGCTTAAAGCATCATTACTGCGTGATAGACTCGGGGCTCAATGCATACTTGCAATGACAGCAACAGCAACTACTAAAACATTGTATAGTGTGATGCATGCATTGGATATTCCATCAAGTGATCTTATCCAATNAAAAAAACAAACAAACAAACTGAAAGCTACAAATTTACTCAATTGATTTCAGGATGAAAGATCTGATGACCTTGCTGAAGTCTTCCCCCTTTTCAGAGGCTAAAAGCATCATCATTTACTGCAAATTTCAGGTGCTGCTTCCTATTTGTCTGTGATACTCTCATTTTTTATATTTGTTTTCTGTAGCTGTATCACATAACTTGACTTCTGGTTTTTTCTTTTCCTCCTCAATGTGCACAGTTCGAAACTGATCTCATTTGCAAATATCTATGTGACAGTAATATCTCGGCAAAGGTTTTGTATCTGCCTTTTGGTTTATTCTTTGTAAACAATATACAGTTACCTGCATCCTCATGTAAATCATTTGATGCCTAATGGGTTAAGTGACTTACAATTTGAATTGTTTTCAGAGTTATCACAGTGGAATTTTCGCAAAGGAAAGGAGCCGTACGCAGGAACTGTTTTGTGCAAACAAGATAAGAGTGGTGAGAGAAGCAATTCATATTTTCTATTCATTTTAATTTACAGATATTAAATACTATCCTTTTATATAAATGAAGTTTTTTTTTAACTTGCATCAATATTTTCTGCAAGGTTGTTGCAACTGTGGCATTCGGCATGGGACTGAATAAGAAGGATATTGAAGCTGTAAGAACTGATCTTGGTTTTCCTATATGATATATTTGCCCTTTTGTCTGCATCAACCTCCAAATTAGGGAGGTTTCCAAGAAGAAATCAAGAACATCACTATATTCAACATTTTGTTCCTAAATACTTATTCTGCTATGTGGTTGGTTTCGGGATCCCAGTTCAACTCAACATGGATTTTCTCTTGTAATTATAAGAAGTAACTATCTGTTTTTGCTGTGTGAGATTACTAGTTGCCCACACTTCCTTTTGATAGCTCATCATCTCTCATTTTTCTGGCCACAAGGTGCACTTCAACATAAAACAATCTCCAAAATGTTTATGTTGACCAAAGATTCCAAGTACTGCTGCATTAAATGTGCAGCAATTGTGCCTGACTTCCTATCAACATTCATATTAAGACTTGCTAAATGCTTCTGTCTCAGGTAATACATTACAGCTTACCAGAAAGCTTGGAAGAGTATGTCCAGGTCGATATTTATGCTTATGACGGTTGCAATTTCCGAGATACTGACTTTTGCAATTCTTTTAACCAAATAATTGATGCTACCTGTGCAGGAGATTGGTCGTGCTGGACGTGATGGTAGAATCTCATATTGCCATCTCTTTTTTGATGATGTTTCCTATTTTAAGACTCGCAGTCTTATGTACAGGTGATAAAGAAAGGAAAAAACTCTTAATATTCATAGAGATCATTTGAATCTAAGGATTCTAAAGCTTTGCATATTGTTTATTCTCAGTGATGGTGTCGACGAGTATGTGGTGAACAAATTGCTGTGTCAAATTTTCAGTGGCAGCACGAACTCTGCTGGGAAAATATGTTCATTAGTTAAAGAGTCTGCTAGTCGTAAATTCGATATGAAAGAAGAGGTACTTTTTCTGTCATTTAAATTGGCATGCTGAGTATCAGTTTTCTGATTGCTTCTATTACTACCCAATCACTTTTTCTATATTTTCCAGAAACCAATTTGATCTTTTATTTGGGTTAAAAACTCTTTTTCAAGACTGTATTTGCAACCCAAAGGCACGGCCCTTTCATCGTACATCCTTGAGCACAGTCACAGACTGAATGTTTTGGCTGTGTTTAAATTTATAACTTGCAGTATATTGATGAGACTACTAATCCTTGAAACATTCTTATGGAACATTGGACATGAAAAGAAGAAAGTCCTAGATCCTGAATAATAATACCTGCGCTTCTTTTATTTTATTTTATGAAATTGACCTGTACATGCAGTATTTGGCATTTTAAGTCATTGCTTAAACAGAGCTGGAACATTTCTTCTACAGTTATCAGAACATATATTAATCCTTATTACTCAATTAGAGATAGATAATAAACTTCCACACCACCTGATGTGTGCAGGTCCTGGGTATTTTCCTTCTGATCTGTTGTTGAATACCTTTGCTGTGAAAGTAGCTTCCATTTTTTATACAAATGTGGGATAGTGCAAGACCGAAACTGAATGTTGTACATTCTTTTATCTTAGTAAGATGCTGAAGAGCTGGTTTTCTCTCTCATAGGTTATACTAACGATCTTAACACAATTGGAGCTAGGCGAGGTCCAATACTTGCACCTGCTCCCACAGATGAGTGTAACATGCACGTTACACTTTCACCAGGTTAGTTAAAGTTAATATAGCAAGTTAAGTACAACAGCCAGTTGGCAGATTTTTATATGCTCGAGGGCTAATTTTACTTTCAGTTGGTCTAACGTTTGGTTTGATTTTGAACATTACTTAGTAAGGATTAGACCTGCATGGTTAGAATTTTGCGATTAAAAGAACTAGAAAGAAACCTAAAAGTGGTTGTCTGCCTCCTTTTGCTGTTTTTGTGGCGGCTTCCATTTTTCACATTACATCATGAACTTAACAACTTATTGCAGACTTCCCCTGCATTGCTAGCTATGAAAGATGCTGTGGTTGCTGCTATCTTGAAGAAGTGAGTACCTTATTTTTGTTTCCTGTGAGAACAAACATATGCTCTCACAAACTTCTGTTATATCTAATGTTATACACTTCATGTATATTAGCTCTGAGATCAAAGATGGGCAGTATATATTTGACATAACAAGTGTAGCAAACAGCACCAGACTGCAAGTCAATGACTTGTCAAACCATTTGCAAACACTGAAGGTAAGTTCCATCAGCGGCTATTATATGGACAGTAGTTCTTTTATGGGGTCTTTTGCGATATTAGTGAAAGACTAGACATACTGATGTAAGTTATGTGTGAATTTCCTGACCCCTCTTACTATTCCAGATTGATATTGGTTATTCTACGTCATGTTTTGACACTTTTAGCAGTAAAGATTTAGATCTTAGAAACACAAAGATGTCATATAGTAATTCATCAAAATCTTTGATCCTAGTTAAACTGAGGATGATGATGAAGATAGTGAGCATAGCAGGAGTTATGCAATTCTCTTCAGCAAGTTTGATTTTTGGATATAACATTTAATGACAACATTACCTGAGCAGAATTCATCTCCAAGAAAACTGACAGGAAAAATGAAAAACATTATATTCTTTGGTCTTTGGTTTCTGATAGCCTTACTGTCAGAATAACATTTAATGACAACATTACCTGAGCAGAATTCGTCTCCAAGAAAACTGACAGGAAAAATGAAAAACATTATATTCTTCAGTCTTTGGTTTCTGATAGCCTTACTATCATCTTCATATTTGTGGTGGTCTTCCACCAGGATGTGAAGGGAGTTCATGAAAGGTATTACATAGTATGCGCGTTGATGCCAAAGCTGGCTATAAAGATCTGAATTTCCCCAAAATTGTATGGGTGGGTTAGGTAATGATTTCTTTGATTGCTTTAGTGCTTTTGGAAACCCAATCATTCTTTTTCTAGAACTGTGAATAATATGAGCATTTGGCCCATGCTTCTTATTTTTTTTATTAAGAAAGAAATATTAGCAGTAATCGGCAGTGCTGTTTGACTTGACTCGGGATGAACAATGATGCACCAGCCAAATTCCAGTTTATAGTTTTGGGTAAATCCAGCAGAATGTTGTACTTCACTATATACACTTATGTTCAGCATAAGATTCTGCGCAGTACTTCTTAAGGGTTACCTTCTGATACGTAGAAATACTAAAGGAACAATATAGATATTAATATTATGAAGCCTTTTACTATCTGTGTTTGTGCATGGTTATCTATTTGTATGTGCGCTTCATGTCTCTGCCATTTTTTTTATTCAAACGGTGACATTAACACCAAAAGTTGATGGTCTTGAGCAATCTTCAGTTCAACATTAATTATTCACTTTCTGCTTTCTTTATTAGACATGAATAACTTTCTCTCTTTCCTATCTCAGTTGAAGGGGGAAGTTACATATGAGCTGAAGGATCACGCTTATTGTTATGTTATCATGGAAGTCCCAAAGGATATCTGTTCTTTAGCAACATGGCTTACAAAGTGGTTATCTGAGGTTGAGAGTTGTAAGGTGACTCTCTTCATTAATAACGGAAGTTTGATTTTCCTTCATGTTCCTCCAAAGATGCAATTCTTCCTATTGTCCTGTTTTTCCTCCCTAACCCTTTATCCCAGAGCTGGGTTCAAGATGAAAGGAGGACACCCTTGTTTAAACGTGATGAGAATTTTCATCATAGGAAGAGTGTCATTGAACTTGCGCAGGATCGTCAGAACAGTGCCAACTCAGTGCCACACCCATCTGTTTTAAAAATTGACTGGTCATGCTTCTTCCAGAATTATGATTCAATGTATCAAGATGGTCTCAAAGTTGATTTTAGTATCAAATAGATGGTGACTTTCCACTGACCTATAGCTTATTGTCCTTACTTATCCTTTTGTCCATTTTCCTCTATTCTTGTTTTGTTGTTCTGCTTGGCAAGAGAAATTGAAGTAATTTTGCTTCCTTTTGAAGCGGATATTTGTTTTATGTAAAAATAAAACAAATGTTGGGTTCTTGATATTGGAGCAAGATACAAATAAGAAATTTACTATCCTTAGGTAAGAGCCTGAGCGCATATCACCTAGAGTTAGATTCACTTTTTTGACTATACAACATGTGCTGTACTGGAATCCACACAGCTTTTCATTTATAAATGAAGCTACCAACTCATTGGCCAACAGTAATGTAGGTTAACAGTTACCTAGTTCCATTGGTAGGTTATTTTCCTGTGAACTTTTAATCTACTCATTTGAAGGAACAGATGTGCATTTTTGTCTAAATAATTTTTTTCTTCTTTTTGGTGTTTGGAGGGGATGAAGAGATGTTATGTTTAAGTTAAAATTAATAGACAACACGTTCAATTTAATGATAACACCTAAGCCTTTATTTCCTTTGTCCGGTTATCTCTTACAGTAAATTATCATGACTTTGCATTAATTGTTACCTAGACTACATGTAAGTCACCTCCAAGTGATCCATATATGTTAGGAACAATCCTGAGCACACCAGGGTATCATTGCCTACTAGTTGAAGGGCTTTGGTATAGCTTTCTGCTGTTCATGCAAAAATATCAGGCATATAAGCTTTTATTGACATACAGATATAGTATTCTTGTTGTCTCCCAGTCTTGTGATTGTGCCTTTGTCATAGGTAAGGAAGATGGACACGATGTACGATGCTGCTGTGTTTGCAGCAGAAGCATGTGACAAGGTGCATGGTTGCCTTGGCCGTCAACACACACCTTGCTTGCAAAGGAAGATTGCAGAGTATTTTATAAGTGGTACTGAAGTTGACGTTCCAAAGAAGATTGGTGGAAGCAGGTGAGAAACCTATCACAGTTTCTGGGCTATTGCTTTGTCCATGCATAGGAAGATGTAATTGCTACTTCCCATGTTGTTAGATGTCTTGTCTATCAGATTTTAAGCATCCAGTAGACAGTGTCTTATTTTGTGATGTCTTTTATATCCTCGAATTTTGGGGATCAGAATAATTTTGTTTCTATTACAGACTGCAGCTTGTTCTATTCATTTACGTATTTCTACACTTTCTTTAGTTTGTCTTTTTATGGAGTATACAGCATCAGTTCTTTTCCCAAAGATGTCAATCTATATGCTAACACAATCGATTTCTTAATTGCAGCCCATTTTTGACAGCTGATATAAAGGTAGTTCTCTTCTCAAATAGTTCTTCCGAAGGGAAGAAAACAATGCAGTCTTAATGTTTTCCTTGTTTCATGGAACAGGTATTTCTACAGTGTAACTCACATGCCAAGTTTACTCCTAGAGCTATTGCAAGGATATTGCATGGCATTGCGAGCCCAGCATTCCCGTCTTCTTCGTGGTCGAGAACTCACTTCTGGTACATCCTCTCTAAAGCTGATCTTTTGAGAAAAATATGCTCGGATCTTTTTCGTCCAAAGATGATTAGAGTTAATCATTTATCATTTACAGCATTGAGTATTTCTTTCTATAGCTGTGCAAAAAACATGGCAAAAAAAGCCTGTTGAACCTCTCACTTTTCATGTTCATAACCTTCAACTAAGTATATTGAATAAGCTCCCTGTGCTTGCTGGTTTCAGGGGAAGGTATATGCAAACAGACTTCAAAGCAATAACGGAAGCAGCAAAGGCAGAGCTCATGAATCTTGTGGGGAAGGATTCTATTAAGCAAGGTCATTCCCAGGATTGATGTTATGACACATTGAGATTTAACTTAAAAGGTACAAAATGGTGAAAATACCGTCGGCTATCTAAGATATGTTGTTATAGTTCCCTCTTGTCTCCTTGGGATTGAGTATGAAAGCTACATCCTATTTCTTTCTTTTTCTTCCAGTGAGTATGAATCTACATAGGTAGCATCTCTCTGCTAGCACTTTTTAAGTGATTCACAACATCAAGAACTTCTGATCCAGCTTTCCAAAGGCAACTACTTGAAGAGTACAAAAGCTGCCCATCAACAATATCCTGCAGTTGGTGGCAGTTTCCATTTCACAATTGAGGCTCTACTTTGAAAGAGCTAAGGAGCATGGTCCTCATTTCTATTAGAACAGATCCTTTGTTTGCTATCTAATGGTATCTCTTTCATAAGGAAAGGATGTACCTCGCAGATTACCTTCCCATGCTCAAAGTTGAAGGCTGGTAGATGTTGATGGCGATAGGCGGATCCAGGATTTGGGCTTGCTGGATTTAACCATTGAAGTTCTTAGCGCTGAACTCATTATACTTTTGAAATTATGTGTTCAAAATCTAATAGTTGGTGAGTTCTTTTGTTGTTTCACATACACATATCTATGTTCCCTACCGAGAATACTGGGCCCAGTTGAACGCATAGCACAAACTCTCCATCAGCTAATGGTCTTAATGGTGATGAAGTGTACAAACTTCTATGCATTGTATATATAGAAAGCGCAGTTCTGGTACAATAGCATGCCTTTACTGCTCGATTCATCCGTCACAATGGAATATCTAAAGATGAGATGTTTCCTATCAGATTTGGCTTAATGAATTTTCCATAGTTGGGAGCCACTGCTCAATGTAAGATTTCATGCCATAGATTGTTGTTCTTGAAAAACAAGAGCCTTTTTGTTGCAAGCATTGAGCAAATGTGCATTATTCAGCAGCCCCTATTCATGACTTAAAATCATGTGATTCGTACGCTGATGCTTGTTTTATTAGGTTAGTTATTGTGTAGAATGTCTGGGATATCCTTTGTTTTGTGCTATTCTCCCAGCGCAGATGGTTAATGCTAAATAGTACGTTGTTGTGAATGGCAAAGGAAAGTGTTCATTTTCTTTTTTATTTCCCAACCAAAATCACCAAAAAACATGAAAAATAGTCCCTCTGCATATACTTGAGAAATGTTTTGCCTCAATAAGATCATTCTAGCCCCTCTTCCATCGCAAAGAAAAGCGCAAGACACAAATATCTTTACGTAGAAAATCAAGAAAACATCAACAATATTTTGACTCTCATCCAAATTTTGGACCAATTCCTCCCTTTTAACATTAATTAACAATATTTGAAGTACAACAGTCCAAACGTCTACATTTACTGTGTATCTGGATAACAATCTTTGAATTATTTGAAAAGATCATTTTACTTAATTTTTATATTTAAAATTTACATAAAAGTGTGACTGATATAACCTTAATTAAGCTGTTTAAAATAAAATAAAAAACTGAATATTATTTGATTTTTCAAATGGAGTACTAATAAGGATTAGTTATCTCCTATAGCAAAGGTTGATACCTTATTTATTTTAAATAAATACCCTTTTAAAAAATTATATTCCATAGCTACATTTTGATTTTTTATAGTCAAATATCTGTTTATGGTCACCTCCTAACCTTAAGCCATAAAATAAGCTTTGTATTATTTTTCTCTCTCATATCCCCTCAAATTTCTCCTAACCCTACCCATATCTATTCTTCCTCTCTCTCTACTTCCCATGTCTTCTCATCTGCCGGACCTTTCTACTGTGAAATAATATTTTGTCAGCTTTCTGCAATTTTATTCGGCTCACCTGCATTTTTGGCTTGATTATATTCTCTGTCTTCAGTTTAATATTGCCCGTTACAACTTTGGGTTAAGATATTTGGCCAAAGGAGAATCTATTGATTTGCAGAATGTTAAAGATTGCCATCTCTTTAACATAGTTGAAGGATCATTTAGAATGCTGCTTTGATAAGCTTTTCAAACTTTCAGAATTTCTGTTAAAGAATGCAAAGGTTTTGGAGAAGTCTCCATTATTTCGCCGGTAATTACGTACTAATCGTCGGCAACCGGAGGCAAAGGTGACGGCGGGCGAGGACTGGATACTGATGCTTCTCCAACGAGACGACATTAGGGTTGTTATTGAACAAAGACAACGTTGCGGGCTGAGCAACTTGAATTTTCTGTTAATATATTTCAATGTATCTCGCTGTATTTCATTGTATTCATTGTTTTTTTTTCATTGTATTTCAATGTATCTCGCTGTATTTTATGTATTTCATTGTATTCACTGTCTTTTTTTTCATTGTATTTCAATGTATCTCGCTGTATTTTATGTATTTCATTGTATTCACTGTCTTTTTTTTCATTGTATTTCAATGTATCCCGCTGTATTCATGTATTTTATTGTATTCACTATCTCGCTATATGCCATGAATGTATTCATATATTTTTTTAATTAATATAATTTATGTATTTAGATGTATTATATAATCTCTCTGGAGATTGCTATGTTTTTGGGATATTTTTCGGTTAAGAATATTTTTTATAACTGAAAATACAAAATTTGTGTGTTATACTTGAGTTTGTTGAGTTATATTAGGAGTCTATTATGTTAATTGATTCACTTTCCGTTTTAAAAATAGTGTAATCCCCTATTTCATGCCGTGAATACAGTTGAATACAGCTGAATACAATAATCTGTCCAGCTGTAATCCCATGTTTCACTCCATGAATTTAGCTGGACTTCCCAGATTCATGCCTATTTTTTGCTATTGTATTCATGAATACAATAACTTAAACACATCAAATACATCTTATAACCACACAAAATGTATCTATAATCCACAATATAGCAAATGGTATCTAAAGATGGCTAATTACTACTAAAAGATAGTGTTGTTGATTGACAAAAGAAATTGTCCCACATCGGTGGATGATTTCATTTGGGGGAAAATATTTCCCTATAAAAAGAGGCCTAATGTTTAGAATTTAAACACACCTCTCATTTGCCTTCTTATCTTCTTAAAGCATTTGCATCTTCTCTCTTTAGTATTATTTCACTTGTATTTTTGGAGTGGAATAAAATATTGGTTGTGTCTGAGGAAGTAGGCAAAATTGGCCGAACCTCGTAAATTCTGGTGTTCCTTTTATTATTGTCTTCTTGTCTTATTTATTATTTGGTGGCTGTCATAATTTTTGGTATAGTAGTTGTGACTCATTCACACTATATACATTTGGCTTCCGCAACAATTGGTATCACAACCAAGGTACTGTCTAAGTATGCTCTGTGGTTGCAGCATAGTCTGATCTTCCACATCAGAAAAGATTTATCTTGGTACTGTGTCAAGGTTCTGTCTTAGTATGCTCTGTGGTTGTAGCTTAATCTGATCTTCCACACCAGAAAGGAATAATATTGATTTGTGTTGTCAGCTATTAAATAATATTCGTGTCAAAATGGGAGACAATAAACAAGAAGAATCTACATCAAGTGTCAATAATACGTCATCGTTGGCATCCTCGCTTATGACAAGAATTGTGTCAAATGCGAAATTTGCGGTAGAAATTTTTGATGGATCAGGACATTTTGGGATGTGGCAAGGCGAGGTTCTAGATGTCCTTTTTCAACAAGGGCTGGATCTTGCCATTGAAGAAAAGAAACCAGATGTTATTGGAGAAAAAGATTGGAAAATTATCAACCGTGTTGCTTGCGGTACCATTCGATCCTACCTTGCTAGAGAGCAGAAATATCCATACACAAAGGAAACTTCTGCAAGTAAATTATGGAAAGCACTGCAGGATAAATTTTTGAAGAAAAATAGTCAAAATAAATTGTACATGAAGAAGAGACTGTTTCGCTTCACCTATGTTCCCGATACCACGATGAATGAACATATCACCAGTTTCAATAAGTTGGTCACAGATTTACAAAATATGGATGCAACTTTTGATGATGGTGAATTGGCCTTGATGTTGTTGGGGTCACTTCCTAATGAGTACGAGCACCTTGAAACTACTCTACTCCATAAAAATGACAAAATTTCTCTCAGAGAAGTTTGTTCGGCTTTGTACAACTATGAACAAAGAAAGGGAGAAAAACTAAAGGGCGGAGAAGGAGAAGCACTGGTTGTGAGGGGTCGTCCTCAAATTCAAATGAGGACAAAGAAGGGAAGATCCAAGTCAAGATCTAGACCCAGCAAAGATGAATGTGCCTTTTGTCGAGAAAAGGGACACTGGAAGAAAGACTGTCCGAAGTTGAAGAATAAGGCAAAACATAACAATGGAAAGGCCATTATGGATTCAAATGTAGCTGATTGTGATGATTTAGACTTCTCATTAGTTACAACAGAGCCATCAACATCATCAGACATATGGTTGATGGACTCGGCTTGTAGCTATCATATGTGTCCCAACAAAGACTGGTTCGTGGATTTTCAAGAAGGGGAATATGGAGTCATCCACACAGCGGATAACAACCCTCTTACCTCATATGACATTGGTTCAATACGATTAAGGAACCATGATGGAATGAT